TCAGCCGTCGCAGTTTCGATGGAGGAAGTCTATGGTGTGGGGTGCATTCTGCAACGATGTCGTGTTGGATCTACCTGTCGTAAGCTGCAGTATGTATTGCAAGGATTACCAGAACGTCTTGGAGCATCATCTAGTACCCTTTCTATGCCATCGCCGTCACCTCAGCTATGTCTTTCAACAAAACAACGCCTCCATTCATGTGAGCCGTGCAACGGATGAGTGGCTGCAATGCCAATAAATAAGCGTCCTGCCATGGCCAGCCTGCAGTTCCGATCTCAATCCGATGGAACATATCTGGGGCATAATAGTCAGACAGGTTTATGCGAATAACCGTCAGTTCCAGGGCACAGAACAGCTGAAGCGGGCAGTTATCGAAGCATGGAGAGCAATCGATGAGGAACATCTTCGAAACTAGTTTCTAGTATGCCACGCAGGCTCTTTGGTATTGTTCTTGAACAAGGAGGAGCTATAGATTATTAACTGTTGTACATATGCCATTAACATTGATAAATCATTTACTTTCTCAGGGTGACCTTATAATTATGAAACGGTGCAAAAGCCGACACCATCTTTAAAAAATTCGTAAAAAATTTGAGGTGAAGGATATTGCGACCAAAATTTGAGTACGGAGGTACATTGTGACGAGGAATCTTCCTGTGTTTGACAAAAAATTCCATTCCGGATGCCTTCTCCAGAATCGCAAAAATCGACGGTGACCTATAATTATGAAACGCACTGTATATCCATGAGCTTGAAATTATGGCGGAACCTCTACGAAGCACCAAGTCTTCATCACAGGAATACACGATAAAGGTTTGGTTCGTTCTGTCGGGTTTCGATGGAAAGCATAGTTTCTTCCCATTTGTGCTGTTTTTCCGTTTACCTACACTAAATGATTCCAGATGCTGCCTACATAAACTTCAATCGTAAGGTTTCAACATTTTCATACCAAAGTCTGGTTTTCTCCGGTATGGAGGTGAGGAAGTAGAATAACATCAGACGCATTATCCTTTGCCATGAGCAGCAAATCACAGTTATGGCTGTCCTTTGGATAGTCATTCAGGAGAAAATGTGGACAGAGTACAGTCAACACTGTCGAATAGCATTGTCTACGACGGCTGTTCGGTAGTTTGTTGAACTTCTCAGAGTAACGTCGTTGTTCGATCCTGTAATACCCACTTCTGTTCATCATTCGTTTTTTTAATACCCATGGGAGAACCCCTGTTTTTTATAACTTTATTCATATCATTTCTGGAGTAGGCTGCAATGAAAACGGAGGTGGTGGAAAGCTCTTACTAAGGAATCAGTCTGATCTGATTTTTTTACTTTAGCATAATCCTCTATTTTCTACTTACGCTTTTTCGAAGCTCACTTCAGGAATATGATGTTTACTTGGCAGCTGTTTCTCGATCCAGTATAAGCAAAGGCTTAAAACCACCGTTATCGTAGAGGGACGTTCGTCCTAAATTGTTAAAATAAGTAAACAAAACTAAGATTACATACTGTGAGAGCACATCTCAGCAGCTATAACAAGTTGCATTGAAATCTATACCAGTTCAAGAAGTCGCAGATCTTCAATGAACACTGTGACTTCCATTGGAGATGGCGGTGCTGAAACATATTTGAGTTTTTCAAAACATAGAAAACTAGTAGAACTTAGCAAAGCTTTCCGGGATTTTTTTTAACTGGAAGTGAGCCATTTTATACTTGAGAAATCCTTTTTAGCAGCAGAATGGTTTGAAAAATCTAAAAAAAACTAAAATTTGGAGAAAATTCCAGAGAAAAGCTATTGCTGCTCCACTGAAAGCTCATATATTGGATGAAGTTTAATGAGATCGCGAAAAATGGACTACTCTATTATATGAATCAACTTTTTTGAGCTAGGAAATGGCTTAAAATATATGTAGATGGAAATAACTGATAAATATTAATGCAAATAAATGAGAATCTCCCATTTTTCGTTATTGTGGATGCTGAGACAGATACCGGAAGATTCTCAGATTAAAGCGAAAAATTTCAGAGGAAAACTCACTTTCCGTTCCAGCATGACTTCCAATAGCAATAAAAGTAATGATAAATAACTGTAAATGGAGTAAAAGCATCGACTGGTGAAGGTAGTGGATCTAAGTGACTCAAATAGGNATGAATCAACTTTTTTGAGCTAGGAAATGGCTTAAAATATATGTAGATGGAAATAACTGATAAATATTAATGCAAAGAAATGAGAATCTCCCATTTTTCGCCACTGTGAATGCTGAGACAGGTGCCGGGAGATTTCAAGCAGAAAAATTCAGAGGAAAACTCACTTTCCGTTCCAGCATGACTTCCAATAGCAATAAAAGTAATGATAAATAATTGTAAATGGAGTAAAAGCATCGACTGGTGAAGGTAGTGGAACCAAGTCATTCAAATAGGTCAACCGCAAATAGGCGAAATCCGATGCCATCCATGACGTCTCAGGTATCAGATGTACTAAGCACCTTTTCAGCTAACCCCATCAAGTTAATTATGTTTTGTACTCATGGAATGACATTGCAATGCATCAGCTACAAGTATAATAAGTTGCAAAAACGGTAGCTTGTCTGTGGACCGAAGATCGGCGAACATCTGACTACGTCTTTCTTAGATAAAAACAAAAAATTGACTGTGTTGAGACGATGGATAAAATGGGAAGTCTAACTATGCCTAAAATGCTGAAATTCATGTCAGCTAGTTGGTGAGCTTCTTTAACAATCCCCTGGATCTTCGGCGTTCGTCATGCATATGTAGTACATCATCGAGGAGTGTGGTCTGGATGGCGTAGGTGCCGCACCTTGGTTGATACTCGTTTGAGCTCGACCTGGGTCAGTGCTCAACCCAAGTGTTAGTAACTTTGTGTAGCTTCATTCGAGGTGGGGTATGTGTAGTGATTATCGGTTTCATTGCTTTCTCGTACCCATTTTTTCAATCTTTCATATAATGTTCACATACACAGTTGCTTGCAATACCTTAAACGTGCTAGGGCAGGATTGATGATGTGTCTCTATGTTGAGTTTCATTCCTGGGCCCAAGCTACGATGCACAAGGCGCAGGACAAGTGAAAAACAAAGATTCTGTGTGTTGAAGGCTTTACAAACTAACTTATAAGTAGTGTGCTACGAATCAGCAGTATTATTGGCTGTGGAGGACAACTATGCCGGAAGGCCCCGGCCCGAGTGATCGAACATGCGAGCGCGGCGTACGCTCTTGGCATAGGCCAAACTACCTTCCCCCGGCTATCCACTAATGGGGCTAGGAGCTTGGGCATGGCGGTCATGACAGGCAAGAGAAAGGGGTGTGGAAAAATTCAATCACTCGAATCCCTAACCATCTGACTTGTAATATTTTATGACAATCTTTTAAAACCTTGAACCTTTATTCATTGCACAATCATAAGGCAGGAAAGAAGTGAAATCCATTAAAGACGTCAATCATAAGAGGATCATATTTCATGAAGAAAATGGGTTTGTATTTTGGTCGAAGAAAAAAGTCTTACCTAACTATACAGTAAGAAACGTTTGATAGATGAAGGTGCATAGCCAATGAAATGACCCAAGAATTCGGATACCTACTGGGCATCCTACCCGATGAATTCTTATCCCGTGGCCACTACATTGTGAAGCTTCAGAAATCGTATTCCGGTCTGATCTCAATCAACTTTTTCGTGGGTAAGGATCCCGGTGAACAATTAAATTACGAAAGATTTTAGAACAGTTTCTGAAAGCAGTACATAAACATAAATATAAAGCATTCTCTCTAGGAATAAACAAATGGGAATAATAAAAAGAAGTCTGACATGTAGAATGCATAAATAACATAACATTTGTTAAGTGCTCTATGAATGGTTGGTTATCTGCCCATTAAAAGAGAAAGAGTAGCACTCAAGACGAATAGCAGCGTTTTTCCCACTGTAGTACCAGGCGATGTCGAGGATGGTGTAGCATTAACGACTTCTGACGGCACAACTTCGATGTGGTTATTGATAGCCAGCTTATGCTCCTCACAATCGGGGCTCGGACTCAGCCAACACAACTGAAACAGTGCACAACTTAGACAGTGGACAACTAGAACATTGGTTAAGGATAACTGATCAACTAAAAGCAATGTTAGGAAGAGGAATGAAAAAGCAAAAAATAAAGCGAGAAACAGGCGTTAGAGTCTGCACATAAGGAACTAAACTAGCTGATCAAGTATCTGCATAAGTTACCAACTACTTACGCTACAAATGTTAATTTGAATATTCTTTTCAGTGAAGAACGTACCGAGATTTTCTCAAACTCTACGATGAAGTGAACTTTTAAAGAAGTTCTCCAGCGATTTCAAGTGAATTCCTCTCAGTAGTCAGCCGACTTTGAACACACCAAAAAATCTTCTCTTTCATACAAATTCCTAGAGGGCGCTACTCCTTTTGTGGATACATCTGTATAGAAAGGTAATCTTAGGCTGGTTTCATAGTCCGCGAGCGAGCGAGCCAGCGCGCGACTACTCGTCCGGCGGTATCGACCAAAATTCAGTTGTATACAAAGGGCAAGCGCCGCCCTAATCGCTCGCTCGCGAGCCAAATCGCGGACTATGAAAGCACCCTTAGACTTTCTTTAAATTACTCAGTGCGAGATTTCGGCATGAAGTCTAGAGAACTGAAGGAAAAAGGAGTAACATAGTAGTGATATTTTTGAGAAGAAAACCCGAGATATATTGAGGCAACTTAAAAATCGAGACTTAACTGAAGCAAAATGAGGAGCAAAAACATAACACCCACTCAATATTTATCAGTAACCGGTATTTAGATCAGATCTATTACATATAATGCATGGATGACGGGAAATTCTTTGAGATGGTGTCTAAGAAACAAAAAAGAAGGTATATGAAAAGTTGCAGGAGTCCGATCGAACTCAATAAACAAAGGACGGAAGTTTTCATGATCATTCTAAACCAATAGTTCTCGTTAAAAGATTAATTCTATTTACAACGTTCTCGATGAGGCCCGGCTTTCCTTCTGGCTGAGCAGCATCGCAACCTGTTTTTCCATATTCCGGTACCTAAAATATAGTAAAAAATCGAAGCCAAGAAATGCACACAATAGTTTGAAGTTTTGTTAAGGACCTTATGCTGCTTGTGCTAGGACGGATACAAAAATTTCACCTACATTGGGAACCCACTATCGTGCAGACCTAAGGATGAAGGGAGCTCGAGAAGGGAGCAGTGTTCAACGGAAAGTAGCTCCATGTTTTGGGGAGGGGGGGGNGGGGGGGGAGGAGTGGGCATGAATGCAATAGGAGGAGCTCCTCTTCACTGAAAAGTATTTGATTCACTCTACCAAATAATCACTCAAACGACCTATCAACCTCTTATGCAGAAACGGCTCTTCCGAGCAAAGGGAATGAGTTTATAATAGTTTTCGCTGTAGCTGAATTATGCGGCCCAAATCCATCGAAATATTACAATGGTACCTTATGAGTGAGCCAAATGCCTACTACAATATGTAGATTATTTAATTTCCGCATCTCGCCATCCTTGTGAGACGCTCTCTAATGTTTTCAAGTTTTTTATTCTTTTCTATTCATCTTCTACCAATCGACTGAATATTAAATTCACTTTTGTAGGAAAATAGTGACTCCGATGTATTACGACTTACCCGAACAGTGAAATAGTGCCGATGGTCCCATATGTAACTGTTGGATTGATCGTAGTAAAACTTTAGTTTATCCGAGCAGGTGAAATCCTCTCCACGTGGCTCTCCGGTACATTCAATGTAGTGTGCGCCAGGTTCCATAGAATCCGGATACCTGTTTTGGAAATGGAATCAGTAGATATCGGTTGATGTAAGATCTGTTAACATGATTCTCTCGATTTGCTTCGATTAACTGCTATGTGTAAGGATAACCAAGTGTCATTTATTGATCTTCCCGTTCTCTACGCGTCTACATATCTCCTTCATGTTCACGGCATCTCAATTAGATAGGTCACTGAAGGTTGTTCAAGACCGGTGAAGCTCACTGAGAGGTATTCACGTCTTCAGGCAAACTCTTTTTTATTTGTTGAAGCTCGGTAGAGTTGAACGACACAAGTGAGAACAAACTCAAAAGATAGGCGAAAGATTGGAGAAACCGAAAAGAGATGGAAAGAAAAATGCCAGGACAGCCCTTCAGTGTTTTATGTTCGAATTAGGCTAGTACATGGTTATCTTAGCCTCTAGCTTTCTCGGATCTCTGCGATCATTGCGCCGGGCGTAAGAGTACAACTCGTTACAGATTTAGAAATGAACCCTTTCGAAAGCTTCTAGCAGTTCCTATCGCACCTTTCGGAAGGTACGGTACATTTCTAATCTGACTTGTCTACAAGATTCTTCTCTAATTATTTTCAAGAGCAAACAGTTTTTTTTCTGAATATCTTACCAAATCTCCGTGCTATGGTGATAGGGCTTGTTTATAACGTTGATATCACAAGGACGGCTGGTGTCACTGTCACCGAACCAACTCTTGTCTTTGGCACAGGCTGGCAGATGAGGAACGATGTCTCGCCGAAACACCACTCGATAACTAAACAGAACTTCTTCCTTGATAAGTGTTTTCAGGAAACGGGAACAACAACGTTTAATGCCCCTCATATCGAGTATATTTACTCATAGTGCTAATTAGGTGAAGGATGTTGCTGTACTTTATTAATTATAAGATTAAATGTATTCAGTCACGGAGCCTAAAAGAGGGGTAACAACAAAGGTTGAGTCCTTCCAAATGTAAGCCAGATTTCGTTGTCTGGAGTAAGGGGATTACTTCCAAGCAACATTCAAACTGAATTTCTGGCATGAATTTCCTATTTTCCTTATAAATGGGCACAACCCTCAATATGCCTTGGTAATATTAACTTCTCCTTCTTAAGCGTATGCGGTGTGAAGGTGAGTGGCAACACTATCACAGCTTGATCAAGGGATGTAATTACGGGCCCATATCTCCCGGGACAACCGATGCTTCCCTAGATCAATCAATTGGTTACGGGCTTGTCTGAGAGGATGGAAGGTCAGACTCATACATCGACCGACCAAAACAATTCACTTTATAAGTCACTTGCGCATTCGAAACGTTATGGCTAGAAGTCGAGTGCGGTGTGCACCCCATAAAAAGGATTGATTACCGTTGAATGCTTTATGTTTACTCTTCAAAAAAATCATTTCCTACCTGTCCTTGATCATTGCATCGAAATTTGTTGCAAATTGAGCATCTCCGACACGAGGTTCACCATACGTGTACATCGTGATCTGATCGCCGGTCCTAAAACCTAAAAAGACACGATTGTAAAAGACGCCAAAAATGTCATGATCTTAAGTGAGGTCATGTGAGGAAGAAGGTCTCATTTAGCGTCAAGAATGACTAAATGGAGTAACTTTTTGTAAACTTTTCCCTTGGGAGCCGAGCTCATGCAAAACCAACACATTGTTATACCGCTTTGACCCCATTTAGACAGATTTCACAGAGCTCCTATTCATTCCCTCAACCATAATTTTCTGGAAAATCCGAAACAACAAAGTACGTAGAGGTCAATGGCGGGCAGAATAGGCTTCTAATTCCACTCTACCGAGCTCATAGCCCTTACCTTGTTTAGCGGTACGAGCAGCTGCCAACGCTGCCAGTGCACCTCCAAGTGAGTGGCCAGTGAAAACGGTTTTGTAGCCCTTAAATAGTCCAGAAATTCAGAAAAAAATGTAAAAACTTGGATTTTTATCTTGATTTCTACTAAAAGTGTAATATGAATATACAAGTCATCAGTCCAAGTGCAAAAATTGAAACATACAGCATATTTTGGGTCCTTAAGCACTTCTTCGACTGACGGCCATAACACAAGATGGCCATTCAAAAAATATTCGTTTACCTAAAAAATTTACCATCAGATGGCGTTCAACGTTTAGGTCGAACAGTCAGTAATGCTTCACAATCCTACTATATGTATAAAATACTATAGCACGCTAGGTGTGTGTTGTGCCGGGTTTGTGCGCCAACAAGTGTTTCGTCGGTGTGTGTAGGTGAACTTATGTGTGTAGATGGTGTGGTATGTATATGGGTGCATGGGTTAGTGTGTTCATCCGCCAGTGTGTGCGTCCGCGTCGGTGTGTTTGTCAGGAAATTCACAAGTTCTGTTCCCATGGACCTAATGCGTTCAAATTTGGTAAGCAATATAGGCGGCATGCCAACTTTGAGGAGGATTTCGGCGTGAGATGGGCGTCAAATTGCCTGAATTTAATAAGTGTTGGGAGAGATTCAGGTATTATAATTAAACGTAATGGCTTCACTCTTCTGTGGCTCAGAGGTAAATTTGGTACTGCCCAACGAAGCTATTCAACGCTACAGGGTTGTTGCTCAGCTACAAGACATTGCACAATCCCACTTTTCCCAACATCTCCCTGCGGTAACAACTTTTTCTAACATCTCTTACTGGAGAATAAGCTCTATAAGTAGGTATAGGTCTGCTCATCGTTAGTGAAGTAACTTCAGGAGAAAAAGATAACCCAAGTATTAACAACTTATGTAAACTAACAAGGAGAACATCTCAATCTAGATGACACAACTACATGAGAAAACTCACTCCTCCCATGTCGAAAAAGTTTGCACCAGGACGAATAGACTTGAGACCTTCTAGCAGAAGTTGGCCCTGAAAATTTACTTCTGCAAGTCGTAAATCTATCAGAGAAAACTGTGGTTGTGATATCGTGAACGCACTGGCTACCACTTACCTTAGTCTTTGTGCCTCTGAAGACGATTACCAATTCTTTTTTAACGTCAGAAGCGGCTAAACAGATGAAGTCAGTAAGAGGACAACAAGGTCCAGTCTATTCTTTCGGTATATTCTAGTACTTCACACCGATTCTGAGTTATTAGCGACACAGTCTTCATATGGTATATGGCATCTAGATGAGCATTTTAGAGGAGGATAGGCTGGCGAACAGGATCGAAGGCAAGCGACTGAAGGTGATATTAAGGGAACGTGAAAGGGAGGGATTGTATTATATTACAGGTGACAGGACGAGAATCACCAAAATGTGAGCATAAACAAGCACTAAGGGGGGTGGGCACAGAATCACTCGAAAGGAAGGACCCTAAGGGTCAAGGTAAGCGACCATGAGAATTGCCAAGAAGTGGCGGCGGGACGTGAACCCACCGAGCCGAGGAAACGGCAGAAGATGCCGCGGATTAAGGGAAGTGGAAGCAGCTGACAAGAATGGCGGACCCGGAGACGGTGTGGGATTAATGCTAGAGAGAAGAAGGAGAAGAGTCAAGGCTTCGAGCTCTCAAAATATAAATCTGTGTATGGATTTAGTGCGCCAATTGGTGCTATGTAAGCCTACAAGGATCCATGAGTCTTCCAACTGAACAGAAAGAGGAAGCGAACATTGCAGAATTATTAAAATCAAAAGATCCATACCTATGTAGCCTTCGCATGTGTTATCGAAATCATCACAATCCTCTTTGTTCACTGATACCACTACGTAATCCTCATGAGCGGGGAACGTTCTGAATATTAATTAGATGTTAATCTACCTTCATTTTTTAGATTCTTGACATGATAAAAATGGAATTGGAGAGGTCAGGTGAGTGATGAATCTCCGTTACCAACCAAATGAGAACCTTTTGTGGAGCCACGACGAATTTTTACTCACCGAGATCGCATTTTGTCCTCTAATATTATAATCCTTCTGTGACGATACTTCCACTAAAGCAACCCTGCTAATATCTAACGCGACCGTCCTTGGCAGTAAACTCACCCTGAGGACGTCGAAGCCTCTATGCGAGGCGGGACGTCCTTAGGATGGGCTTACTGCCAAAGACGAAGAGAACGAAGAGTGATGAGACCACGACGGTACCTATTCGATGTCTAACTATTATACATATGGCGCTAGTTAAGTTGTGTCCGCAACATCTGTCTGATGTCTTCTCTTCCGTATGTCCCCTCAATGCGAAATCATCGTACTTGCTTCTTTTGCACTTACATTAGAGGTTATAAGTTTTTGAGCTTTTACCCAAAATACCGGTTTACCAATAGTTATCAAGTTGTTTCTATGCCCACCCAATCGGTTTGGTTGTACTTGCTATCGACGCTAATGAATGGTAGGCTCGTGAGCCTCTTAAATACTCGATGAAATGAATGGTTTTCTCAAACACTGCGCCGACAGTAGCGTTCCTTAAAATTAACAAAGACTCGCTTGAACTGGTGTATTTCAGGTTTCTAGACAAATAGTTCTATTAGATTAGACTGTGGATCAATACTGATTCTTAAGGAACAGCTCGATCATACCTCCTCGGGGAGCAAATTCAATTTTGAACAACTAGATAATGAAATGGATGACAGTATATTCCAAAAAGTAAGTGTTCATGATTTACCGATTGATACATGCCGCTTGTTCCGTTCCATAGGCACCAGCGGCCATGTTTAGTAATTTTCGGGCTGTCAGCTCATCATATTTCGTCTTTTTCCCAAGAAATGGTAACGCTGCTACTAATTCCAGACATGCGACTATGAAGAGAAGGCGCATGAGCTTTGTTACCAGATCGTAGCTGAAACAAATGAAATGTGATGGTTTGATTGGGTGACATACCTCAAATGCATTTCGACACGCGCCTCACACTCTTATATACGAAGTAAAGTGCGAACAGGTAATGAATTGGGAAAGGAAAGAATATAAAAATGTTCGGCAGTAAAGATGAAGAGGAGGTGATCATAACGATAAGATCCTCGGGCCATTTGGTAGAGAAGAAGTTATATAGTCACATATGAATATGAAACTAAAAGAGAACAAAACCTTATAATCAGTCTTCAGTAGGAACTGCATTAAAGAGATATTGAAAAAAACACCATTATTTCAAAAGTGTCATGAGGAATATCGGCAGCACGTGAGCGATCGGTTCAGATAGTCAGAAGGAGAACATTAGCAGGGAATGGCGATGAGAGCACGAATGTATTCTACCCCAACTTACAATCGCTTTACCATTTGATTGCGTGTTTCGCCTATACAATAGTTCGGGAATTTCTATGAACGTAGTAGTCACTGGACTATGCTGTCGGACGACTGTCGTACCAATTAGCACATCTCGGTAGATGGGACGCTTGAATGGCTCAGGCAGTCATTGAACGTAATCCAATCTACATATGATGATTGTGGTAGTGTACTTCTTAGCACTTGTCCATCTTCACCTTAGCTCGAGTACTTTGTCACAATAGCTTCATTGCGATTGCTGTTCATCGAACTGGCCGCTAACGAAAAGTAAGCTACTAAATAATCAAATTTTGGGTACAAAAAAAAACTCTATAGGAACCCATTTCTCAGATTCAGACAGTTAACAACCAGGACGACAAATTCATGAAGAGGACGGAGCTCTTGGCAAGTCATTGTACATGACTAATGTAAATCTACTAAGTCGTTGAATACATTCAATGGGAAACATCACACACGTGAAAATGGAAATCTTAAGAAGCGACGAAATGGAGCAATTTAGACAAAGGATGATGAGCTCTTCTCCAGACATTTCCAATAATTTATTGATGATACCAAGTGTTCTCTACGATATTTCTGTAGGTGAAAGGTAGAAGCTCTGCTAAACAACTTGGTACTCGGTAGAGACACAGTGTTCGGGTGAAGACCAGAAGCAGGAGGTGCTGCTAGGAGCTGATGCGTTGAGTTTCTGCCGTCGTTTGAAAAAAAAGGACACTGAGTAGTAAAGCGCCGGTACTTTTCGACTACAGGGAGAACTTTTCAGAGTAGACAAGGCGCTGACTAAGAAACCCGTCCGATTGCCTGTCATGGTTTTGCGTAGTGCTCATTATTTCGCCTTTGCGATTCTGAATAGGTGATGGAGTCGGGGTGAGGACAGGTGAGTCAGTGAAAATCTGCGCAGCCTTCCCGCTTCGTATATACAGGGATTGAGTAGAGGAGCAACCGGTTGTGACAATGAAGTGAGAAAGTTCAGAACTACTGCAAGAGTAAGTTATGTAGTCTGTGAAATTCACGGTTGACTCTGACTGGCTGCTCTTTGCCAACTCATCCGTAACACAAACACCTAGTCATTGAACGGCCGCAAAGTGCTCATACATACATTTTTTTTGCAAAATCAAAGTGAACGTGACCGCAGAAAGCTGCAAAGGGTTATTGCCTATTCATGTTTCAAGCCGTTATTGAGAGGACGTTACTGCTACGTTTACCAAACTGGTTACAACGAATCATACCTTTTCATCGCGTATTTACATAGTCTGCTTGGTAAACAGCAATATTTTATGGTTCGTGTACCAGCGTTAACTCATCGTTTTCAGCAGAAGAACGGAGAACCTTTCACTGTTAGCGATGATTCGGATCCCCTTTCTGAGGAACCTCTTTTTTGCGTCTGTTAAAATTTTCGAATTGCTCACTTACCAAGGCGTTGCCTTCAATTTGTTCACACCACTCAGCTGTATGAATCATAAACGTGAAAGATCACAAAGAATCCTGTATGAGAGGTACACCTAGTGAAGGAACTGCTCCAACTGCCAACTTGGTTTGGGCATGATTCAAAACGTTCAGGTTTTTAATGGTCCTTGGTCAAAGTGNTCTCTTTGAAATCTCGCAATTCTTCAGTTGTTCTCATGCTTTGGGCAGGAAAATCCATATCTGCTAGGCGATACTGGGATCAAAGGCACGGGACCGTTTTTCCCACGTCTTTTACCTCTGTATCGAACACGTGAACGGACCGAGCAGCAAACTATACTGGGCAGTTGGTAGGACGGTGTACCCGTAGAGATAACATGTAGGTTTGAATAGGTTACACACCTGCAGCTAGGTGTAAAACTTACCTTATACGGTATCTTACGGCAGCTGTTCAGCAATTTGCTGTTTAGCGATTTCTTCTTTTTCAGGAAAAACGTTGGTGTTTTTTCTGAAAAAAATCCTTCACTGCCATCACACAAGAGTCTTCGAGGGGCCAGTGAACCTAGCCCCTCCAAAAATTGTGTGTGATGCCAGTACAGAACGAAGTAACAGTTAAACATTCATCTGCCATATTGAACATCAATTGCCATTAAACACAACAGGCAACTATCACTAAGTTGCGATCCTTTTTCATTCTCTCTACTGCCTAAAACAAAAGAGCACTGATTAACAAAAGAGGAACTCCCGTTTGATTTTTGGTAACAAGAAATTTTGGAATTAACTTCCTTCAATTTTATGATTAGAATTTCATGCTGAAATAATGACTGGCATACCGTGCTCTACCCGTCATAAGCGGTCTAGGTAGGCAATTTACAGGTGACTTAAAATCTCGTTACAAGCCACATACGCAATCAAATGCAGCCTAGGATTTTAAAGGGATGTCGAATATTAGGGGTTTTTCAAGATAATCAGGGCTAAAACCGTATTTCAACCTTTTTCATATGTCGAGGTGTGATTGTATCTGTTTTGAAAATGATTATTGTGAACAGCAACTTGTAGTTGGTCTGTGATTCAGGGAGAGCTGGGGAGCGCCACCCTTCCCCATAGCTCTTTGGGTGGTCGCAATGATTAATGGTCGCCTAGGGTGTATGTAACTGCAGAACTCGAAATTAGTGGGCGTTTCCATCGAATAGATACTTTTCGATTTTACTCCTTAATGGAGAATGTTTCTTCTTCTAGCCCCTAAGTTGTAATGTCAGCCCTCCTGATTCTTGTTTTGCTCTTGATCAGTGCCATATTTTTTTGTTTAAATAATACGATGTCGCCTATTCACTAAAAAACTCTACTAACAGCCCAGTCTGGAGTGGACTTTGTGACATTCTTTTAATGAAGTCGAAAAACCCACCTTTGAAAATAAAAATAAAGAGCGAGAGTATATGGTATATGGTCCAAATGATCGAAAGGGGTATATGGTTATATTTAGAAGGTCGAGTAGCTGAAGAGGAGTAGACGTTCAATATGTAGACGTCTTGCAGCCTTTATTGGGGGCGAAACTCCAAAAGAAAGAACGTGAAGTATACGGTCTGTAAAAAAAAGCAATCCGTCATGTACATGTGCTGCTTAAGAGATGAATGTAACGATCGAAACTCGTGGCAACGAGCGGTTGTACTTTCAATTTCACCATATCCTTTATTTCTGTGCACCCTCCCACCGAGTAGCACCTCTCAGAATTCTTTTTCATAAGGTTATTTCAATGAGAAATATGTCTTCGAGAAGAAAGTGGCACATTTTGAAGCAGTACCACAACTTTCGCGAGGGAATATTTACATTAAAAGTTTGATGTAAACAAGTGGTGAAGTGATCAGCTGTTTACAGAGTGATGTAAAAGATTTGGAAAAAAATTAAGGCAAAGCTCGAAAAGTGTGATACAATTGACGGTGACCTTTGGTAGAATAACTGGAAAACTACTGTGAGATGTGAAGACAATAGAGCACACATAATGGACCCTACGCAAACCGGTTCGTCGAAATTCTTGGAGAAGTGAATCAAAGAGTCGGAAACCATGTACTCTTCCCACCTGTCGGAAATGTCTCATAGAGATGACAATGTAAGAAGGCCTTCTGAAGAAAGTGCACACTCTTGAGCAATCTGGTTGGCATGATTCAGGCCACACCACGAGTATGGTAAGTGAAGAATACAAACATTAGAGGAAAAGGCAGGGACGGGTGAGAACAGCTGAGAGAAGAAGGCTAAAAAATTTTGTGGTAATGTGTAATAGAAGAGCTGCTTTCAGGGTTCTATCGGAGGGAAGATATCTCTGATTCTGCTTATTTCCGACCACCAGACATTCAAATGTGCCTGACAACAGTTTCCTTCAAGGGTAAAGGACAAAGATTTTGGCGTTAATAAATCCCGTCTGAGGGATGCGCATAAGCATCCGACTTAAATTCAAAACGTAGGGGCGTATTGAATTCGACACTATACAATGACCTGCACTGGCCAGCCGATGGAGAACTCAGTGTTTCAATTCAGACGTGTCCGGTACCAATTTACCGACCTCGGAAGGATGGAAGGCATTGCATGATACGAGCATTGCTCGATCTTCGGGAACAGAGAGTGAGTTTTGGTTTTGGGAAGAAGTTCTGTCAATCTAATGGCTAGAATTCCATTCCGAAGTAATGATCAAGTACCTATTTCATCTCTATAGGCCAGGGAGGTAAGTACAGGTGCCTTGATGCCTCCGTACAGTCCAAATACGCATTCAAATACTGCAACTCTGAAGCGACATCGAACTTCTGGAGTCTTCCAAATCAGTCAGGGCTTGGAACATAATTTCATCCCTACTCATATATTGGGATGGGTTTGCTTTTAAGATTCGAAGACGATTTGTGGGATCAGCAGATCACAGACAGTACTGCGATTCAGGGAGGGGTGTGGAACGCTTTGAGTGTTCGCACAAAGATGATTTGGAGAGTCATCATGGGCGTAACTGCAAAATTCAAAATCAGTGGGCGCTCCCAACGAACAGGTGTCGTTCGCTTTCTTTTTTACCTTGTATGATGAATTTTCGTCTCCTAACCCCTTCAATTTAATGTTGTCCCTCCTGTTTCTCGTTCTGCACTAAATCAATCTTGTGT